TTAAAAGACTATATCAGTTACTCTCAACAACAATCTACAAAGAATACCTCACAAATATCTGATATGATGAATCTTTAAAAACTTATAACCATCTATTAAGCAAATTTATTTTTTTAAAAGGCTCTCAGATCTGAAAAAAAATGTAATGAAACATGATCTGAGAAGCAATGTTCCATCATATTCATTAGTCCTGCTTGCATTCAAGGGAAGAAAATTATACCATATACATGGGGAAGGAGATCTTGGGGTCTGTTTTAGAACTCTGCCTACCCCTATCTATCCCCTGAGTCCCAATGATTTACTACCCTCCAAAGCAGAAAATACCCTCTCCCAAGCTTATTAGAATTCTCATCCCATTATAGAACCTTCATAAATCCCAAATCATATAATGTAAATTTAAATCTCCTCTCTCAGTTCAAGTCCATAATCGTAGCATCAAAGTCATCTACTTCTGCATCAGATATGGATGAAGCTGTGGGGTGTCAGCTGTGTGCTTCCTGCACCACAAATTTCCTCTATATTTGGACCTGGGAAACTAAAACTAAGATGCATACCCTCCCATACATGGTGCCATGGGAGGGCCGATAAAAGATAACAGTTATAAATATTCTGGTTCAAAAAATGAAAACTGTTGTGGTATTATCTTTGGATGTAGCAAATGACCATCATCTTTATGAAACGTTGGTTCAAATCATTTACTGTGGGTGGGGGGGAATAATTTGGCATTTTATACTGAATAGTAAGAATTTTTTTTTAATTTTAATTTTTTTTCATGTATACATTAATGCATTTATGGGGTACCATGTGCTGATTTCATATAGAATTAGGAATGCTTACATCACACTGGTTAATATATACCTCATCTCATTTATTAAATTATTATGTTAAGACATTTATACTCTGTACTAATGGATCCAACATGTACCCTTGCATTATGCACCATAGGTGTGATCCCACCATTTGAATAGTAAGAGTTCCTTATCAACTTATCAATTCTGGGTGAAAGTCAGGTTCAATATAGAAAGTATGAATATTTTTGCATAGTTGGTCTCCTCCTTTTAATGTTCTTAATAGCAAAATGTCTAGGAAATAAGTCTTAAATTTTGAAGTCCAATTTAGTGTTTTCCTTTTTTGATGGTTACTTCTTACAGTTTCATATGCAAGCTATCTTTGGCTGCGCTAAGGTGGTGAGAATGTCTTCTTATTTTTTTACTCAAAATGTTTTCTTATTTTTTTACTCAATGTTCAATAGTTTTAGGTTTTACATTTAGATCTAGGATCCACTTAAGTTAGTGGTTTTTCTATCATGTGCTATAAAGTTTGAGAATCTTCTTTTCCCCTGAAGGTACCAATTTTTTTCTAGCACAATTTATTTAAAATACTATTCTTTTCTTCATTCCCTTATAACATTGTGGAAAGTTATTCCTACATACATCCCAGGATCTCTTTCTATAGACCCTCTTTGGTTCTACTCACCTGTCTTTTTATACGGAAATGCCATATTTCCTTGATTATGATAGCTGACAATTTTCACAGTAAGGTGGTATAAATTATTCATATTTGTTCTCCTTTGAAAAACTGTGTTGGCTGACCAATGTCTTTTTCCTTTTGACATTAATTATGGAATCAACTTGTTGATTTTCTCAAAACCTCTGCTTGGATGTTGCTTAGGATTTTTCTGAATCTACAGATCCTCTAAAAGGGAATGATAAAACACAAATATAGTCTAGCAGTGGGGAGGAAAGATGTGCTGGGGGGAGGGGGCAATTGGTGGGATCTCACCTAATGTGCGCCATGTGAGGGGCCCTGGGTGAAGGGAACCAGTACAACCTGAAATTCACCTTAGAACTGAAAACAATGTAACCTTAAAATTTGTGTCCTCATCTTAATTTGAAATTTAAAAAAGAGACCAGAAACATCTTAGTAGTGTTCATAAAGATGGTATACATCTAAATTAAATTAGGTCTTCATTAACATCTCTCAGCAATATTTTATAGTATTTAGAATAAAGGCCTTTATGCCTTTGATAAAATTGTCCCCAATTATATAATATTTAATACTGTGTTAATGTTGTTTTTAAATTCTATGGTCCAAATATTGTTATTATAGGTATAGAAGCAAATTTGATTTTTTTGCATTGATTTTTTATCATATGACCTTATTAAATTTCATTCTTAATTCTAGTAACCATTGTTTAGGATTTTCTCCATATTCACGATTATATCATGATCTACTAAATAAAAACCTACTAAATAAAAACCGTTTACTTCAAAAACATAAATAAACTAATAAAAAGGATCTCTGAATTTCAGTTGACGGTCCCCTAATTATGATTCAGTTCAGTTTTAAAAATGTATCTATTTAATTGACTATTGTATTTTATTTTCTGCAAACTCCCTATTTATAGTCTTCATCCACTTTTAAATTAGATTATCATTTTTCTTATTGACTTGTTAAAACTTAAAGTATGATGGCAGTCAACTGTTAAAAATGTTAAAAAATATTTGTGTATAAAAAATGATATATGCATAGTACATGTCTACACCATATGTATACATACATGTAGATATACCATATGTATCACTTTATTTTAGCCAAAAGGCTGAGAAATGATGTACTATGTATACCTATACACATACACATATGAGTGTCTAACCTTTATTTTATTAGAAATGTGAGTATATATAATGTACATTTATGTTATAAACATATAGGCTATACTTACTTATATGTAAATATATATTCACACATATACAGGGTGGCTATGACATTCACGTGTAATTTTTAATTTGCACACGAACTTTATGGCCACCCTGTATTTTTATATATATGTGTGTGTGTATATATATATTATTACACATTTTTAATTCCTGTAATTTTTTAATGTGGTAGTCCTACCTTCACTAGTCTCTTATTTTTAAACAAAATTCCTAGATGTTCTTTTATACCTGCTCCCTCAGTTTAACTATGGAATTATTTTATTCAGTTCCAAAGAGAAAAAAAGATCTTATACAGAGCGTATCTAAAATTTCACTGAATTGACATCCATTCCTCCATGTAAGAATGTAGAGTCCCTCTTGTTTTAAATCCTCTGGCAAAATCCTACAGTGCTTACCATATGGGTCTCACTAAATCCTAGTCAAGTACTTAAGTCTCTTAAAATGTAATAAATTTCATGGCTACTGTGAATAAAATCCTCTTTCCATAATATCTCTTACATTTTATATGGATTCCAGAATTTTAGTATTTTATTGAAGAAAACCTTCGGAGTGGTTATAGTTCCCTTTTCATGAGAGTAAATTAGGCCCCTCAAATGATATTTAAGTACTATTTTATGATTATTGTACAGCTGAATCAGAGGAAATTTAGTCATTTCTGTTGTATAATAATTACTTGGCAATATATCTACTGAGAGATCTCATCTGATAACACATATCTTTCTAGAACTGTCTTCAATACTTGACACAAGTAAATTGCAATAAAATGTGGTTTAATCTAAGTCTTTAAATCTATTTTTGAGAATTCATCTACTTTATGCCATTAAAAAAATTATCTTATGAAAAAGAAGAGGTTCTCGATGTAGTATTTCCAAGTCAAAAACACAATTAAAATCATACCTTTCTCTTTTTCTTTTTTAATAGGCTTTTGCCTGTGACAGTGTGTTTGCCAGCATGGCTCCCAAAAAGAAGATTGTCAAAAAGAACAAAGGGGACCTCAATGAGATGACTATAATTGTAGAAGACAGCCCCCTAAACAAACTGAATGCTTTGAATGGGCTCCTAGAGGGAGGCAATGGCCTCAGCTGCATTTCTTCTGAATTAACAGATGCTTCTTATGGCCCCAACCTCTTGGAAGGTTTAAGTAAAATGCGGCAGGAGAGCTTCCTCTGTGACTTAGTCATTGGTACCAAAACCAAATCCTTTGATGTTCATAAGTCAGTGATGGCTTCATGCAGTGAGTATTTTTACAACATCCTAAAAAAAGACCCATCAACTCAGAGGGTGGACCTTAATGACATCTCACCACTAGGCCTGGCTACTGTCATTGCATACGCCTACACTGGAAAGCTGACTCTCTCCTTGTATACAATAGGAAGCATCATTTCTGCTGCTGTTTATCTTCAGATCCACACTCTTGTAAAGATGTGCAGCGATTTTCTGATAAGGGAGATAAGCGTTGAGAATTGCATGTATGTTGTTAACATTGCGGAAACATACTCCCTGAAAAACGCTAAAGCAGCGGCCCAGAAATTTATCCGGGATAACTTCCTTGAATTTGCAGAATCAGATCAGTTTATGAAGCTTACATTTGAACAAATTAATGAACTTCTTATAGACGATGACTTACAGTTGCCTTCTGAGATAGTAGCATTCCAGATTGCAATGAAATGGTTAGAATTTGACCAAAAGAGAGTGAAATATGCTGCAGATCTTTTGAGCAATATTCGCTTTGGTACCATCTCTGCGCAAGACCTGGTTAATTATGTTCAATCTGTACCAAGAATGATGCAAGATGCTGATTGTCACAAACTTCTTGTCGATGCTATGAACTACCACTTACTGCCATATCATCAAAACACACTGCAGTCTAGGCGAACGAGAATCCGAGGCGGATGCCGAGTCCTTGTCACTGTCGGGGGACGCCCAGGACTTACTGAGAAGTCCCTTAGTAGAGACATCTTATATAGAGACCCTGAAAATGGATGGAGCAAGCTTACAGAAATGCCAGCCAAGAGTTTTAATCAGTGTGTGGCTGTGATGGATGGATTTCTTTATGTGGCGGGAGGAGAAGACCAGAATGATGCAAGAAATCAAGCCAAGCACGCAGTCAGCAACTTCTGCAGGTATTTGATTTTTTTTGTTAGGAACTGAAATGGCTCAATATTATATTGCCCTTCCATTGAAGTAAATTAATCATACCTATAAGTTCATTGTCTGAAGAAATCAATGATAATACTAATGCCACCCTACCTGTGTACAGCACTTTACATTATATTAAGCGCATTCATGTATATTCTGCGCTCCAGATTTCTGAAACAAGCCTTTGAGGTGGACGGGGAAGATAAGATCGTTCTGATTTTACATATGAGAAACCTGATCCCCAGAGAAATGTTAACACTAGTGAGTGGCAATTCACATTTACTTATTTCTAGTTGACTACTCTTTGAGATACACTGTCTTTTGAAAGACGCTGGATACAAATTTAGTCTGTAACGTGCTAGGAAAGAATAAAACAATACAACTGCCACTGACAACTGTCAGATTCATCATTGGCAAATGCAATAGAATGATATCACTAAAAATGTGTTAGCTAGTTAAGGTAAAATATTTATCTGAATACTGAATAACAGAAACATTCAGTATTTTGAAATGCCATATTATTTCACATATTTATGATAAAAATTATGAAGCATATATGAAACGTTCAGAAAGTCGTGCTTTTATCATGGCAGTAGTACAAAAGCAAACACAACTAATGAACCAGACTGAAAATGTGTAGAGTTCATGAAAATATTCTTCGTTTCACTGTGTGCGTGTATGTATCATTTAAAGGAACAGAAATTGATTTTTAGTCTTTAAGTTATAACCGTAGTTAAGTTTTGATTTGGGAGTTAAATGAGACAAAGATGAGCCTCAACCTGCAGGTGTGGTTCTGCAGTTACAATGCTTCTGAGAGGTGTAAACAGGAAAGCGTCAGTTCTCTATCTTGCTTGTTTTCCTTTTACTGACAATTCACCTATTTAAGTTGCTGTTTTTGTAATACTGATTTCAGCGCTTATAAAATAATAGTTCCCGGCACTGAAAAAATATATATATTTATCCTTAAACTATAAACTAAACTAAACCTAAAAATTTTTATCTGTGATAAGGGTTGAAAAACAGAAAAACATCAAAAGTTAAGCCTTAGTTGATGCTTTTATGCATGAATTCCATTGGTGCCTTGGCTCTGCTATGGCAATGGCCGAGACAGGTGTAGGAGGAATTGGGGTTTGTGAGCAGTGGAGGAATCCAGTTAACCGCTATGTTCATTAAGCAGTGAGAGTGAGCTGGGGATGGTTGGTGTCTGAAGATGTGTAGATCTGACTTTAAACATAGCGTGTCCCCTCCTCTAATTACTACAAATGCGCAGCTTTCCCCGCGTGCACATCTCACAAATCCTACTGGATGGTAGATGTTTGAATATGGAGGAAAGGGGACAGAAGCTCGGTCTCTGTGGGCTCTTCTCCAAATGGCCCAATAAAGAGAACAGTCTCATAATCGGGGAGGGGTATGGGTCATGCCCGCCGTCCCTTTTCCCAGAGTCACCCATTTTTACTGGCTGAGAGAAACACTAGCTCCCAAGTGAGGAGATGCGATAGGTCCCTCTCCAGCTCGCACACCTAGGATAGGGATTCGCACGTTAAGGTTTGCGGGAGTAATATAGATTCCCTGGCTGCCTCCGACGAAGCTGTCACACTTCCTCTGTCATTTCTAGATACGATCCCCGCTTCAACACCTGGATCCACCTGGCCAACATGAACCAGAAGCGCACGCACTTCAGCCTGAGCGTGTTCAACGGGCTGCTGTACGCCGTGGGCGGCCGCAACGCCGAGGGCAGCCTGGCCTCGCTGGAGTGCTACGTGCCCTCCACCAACCAGTGGCAGCCCAAGATGCCCCTGGAGGTGGCGCGCTGCTGCCACGCCAGCGCCGTCGCGGACGGCCGCGTGCTGGTGACCGGCGGCTACATCGCCAACGCCTACTCGCGCTCGGTGTGCGCCTTCGACCCGGCCACCGACTCGTGGCAGGAGCTGCCGAACCTGAGCACGCCCCGAGGCTGGCACTGCGCGGTCACGCTGGGCGACAGGGTGTACGTGATGGGGGGCAGCCAGGTGGGGCCGCGCGGCGAGCGCGTGGACGTGCTGACGGTGGAGTGCTACAGCCCGGCCACCGGCCAGTGGAGCTACGCGGCGCCCCTGCTGGTGGGCGTGAGCACGGCGGGCGCCTCGGCGCTGCACGGGCGCGCCTACCTGGTGGGGGGCTGGAACGAGGGCGAGAAGAAGTACAAGAAGTGCATCCAGTGCTTCAACGCCGAGCTCAACGAGTGGACGGAGGACGACGAGCTGCCCGAGGCCACCGTGGGCGTGTCCTGCTGCACCCTCTCCATGCCCAACAGCGTAACTCGGGAATCCCGGGCCAGTTCGGTGTCTTCTGTGCCAGTCAGTATCTGATCCCAGGTAGATGCCTGGACACAGGAAGAACACGTAATTCGCAAGGTTAACCTCTGAGTTCCCGAAAAGGAAAATATGTAACATTTACTACACTGATTGTAATTTGAAATGCATCGAGGCGTGTGTCTTAATGGTTTTAAATTCCTGGTATGGCATAATCTACCTCTGTGTCTTTTTCTTTCTTTCTTTTTTTTTTTTTAAAGCAAAAGACTGTGCCATAGCCAACAAAAGAAATAGAATTTATTTCGGCGGCCACTGGGTGGCAGACGGAGTTCGTCGTAGGCCCTCACCCAATGTGGCATGCTTCCTCATGGATAGCGGTTACACCCACATTTGAGATTTTTTCTTCTACACTTGGTACACGTGAGGCTTCTGTGAGTAAGCGATTTCACGTTCAAAAGTTTATTTCCTTCTCCTTTTTTATCTTTAGGAGTTGAAAATGCTCATTTATAGGTTTTATATATTTAAAAATGGAAATTGTCTATAACCGTGTAGACTTAAGATTTAATTCTGAGTCTCAACACAGTTTTTCCCCTATACTTGGCTGAGTAAAGAATTTTGAAAGATATCCCGTGACAAAGTCATAGAACTTAAAATCTGACCGAAAAGGAGTAGGGATACCTCACAGGGACTGTCAAGTTGATACCTTTGTGATAGCATAGTTCCCCCTCTTCCTCCATGCCTCAGGCCCCCAGGGTATCTTCTATTAAAAAAAAAAAAAATCCTGGGCTCGGTGCCTGTAGCTCAGCAGGTAGGGCGCCGGCCACATACGCCAAAGTTGGTGGGTTTGTGCCCGGGCCTGCTAAACGACAATAACAACTGCAACCAAAAAACAGCTGGGTGTTGTGGCAGGCGCCTGTAGTCCCGGCTACATGGGAGGCTGAGGCAAGAGAATCACGTTAGCCCAAGAGTTTGAGATTGCTGTGAGCTGTGACACTGCCGCACTCTACTGGGGGCGGGAGGATCCTGCTCTCAGGAGAAACTGACATTAGTTCTTTAATTATAGTGTAAATGTAAGTCATTTTGTTTTTTCCTCCTAGAAGCATTCACATTTTATCCCTTGTTCTCTATTCAAAAAATTTTAAGTATCATCCTGGGAGCCTTGTCTTACACCAACATGGTTCGAGGCAATCTTGACTTAATGTAAGCACTGGGAAGATCATGAACTAAAACTATTTCCTTAAGGATCATTAGCTTAAGGCATAAATAGCCTGATAGTTGTACAGCCAATAATGACAATTTGATTTGTCCACTCTTTTATATGATAGGAATGAAGGAAACATTTAGAATTCTTAGATTTGGCAATAACAGGATGAATGGGTTCTCCTGGTGGTAAATGCCTGTGTTTCCCATTGTGTATCAGTCCTCTTAATTTTAGTTAAAAATCTAACACGTTCATTTCACATAGAAATATTAAAAGACTATATGCCCATTCTGTCCTATTTTTGTTACCCTCATCTGCTCCCATTAGCTTCATAAATCAGAGTTTATCCACTTGATAGCATTTTTTTCTTACATGCTAGCCAACTTTTGGGGAAAGAGAATGATTGTAGTAAATGATACATCTTTTCCTTTATTGTAATTTATCACTTTATTCTTTGATAGCTTATTTGTTTTGGAGAGGAAGCGGCCTACCAGTTATGGGTTATGTGCAATTGGGTTTTGAAAAATAAACTATTTAAAGGTTATAAGGTATGTGGAAATGTAACTTGATTTTCCTTAATCCTATCCTCTCCCACCTTGTGTAGATGGGTTATTACTGGAATTATGATATTTATATCTAAAGTATTTTGTTCGAACTGTGAAAAGTGGTTCATATAGTACACTTTGTGGAACAATTTTATATTATTACCCCTTATGAAAAGTTCAATGTCTGGATATTTAATGGTAACACCCAGATAAAGGCTATAAACAGTATAAGTTAAGAACAATACATCATTAATGCAAAAGCCCTGGGCTATTTCCTTACCACATGCAGAGAATGAGGAGTTTCACCAAGTATAAGGCAGATCTAAAGGCACCTGCTCTTTTGAGTCCTTATATGCTCAGGCTGGAAAATAAAGCTTTGTGAGAAACTGCTGTTTTATGCACCAAGTTAATTTACCAATGATGCAATTTGTACAAGCATTTAACTGTTTGTCTTGGCAGCAGCATTGGTAAAATTACCTTGTCATTTTTTATCATTTTGGACCCAACTTGCAAAGCCTATGTGAGGTTTACTGTAACATCTTTTACCTTGGTATGTGTGTATGTGGTTCATTACCTTGGTATATGTCTATATGTGTGCATATCTGTATACACGCACGTGCACACACATATAAATGTATACAACTGAAAAGTCTATGGTGTTAATCTTGAAAGGAAAAAAATGTTTTATTATGGATTAGAGATCACAAGTGAGCAAATAGATGCAATTCCTGGTGCACACTAATAGATGTGTCTCCCCTTGAAATCTTAGAAGAATTATGTAAAGAGGAGGATCTAGAGCTTGAAATGAAATAAGAAACAATTGAAAGAAACAACCAATTGTAACATTGTATGATGGAATGATGAGGACAGGTACTAAAGCTAGAGGATTTTTCATCTATGGGGTTTGATATGTTAGGTTGTGCAAAAACTTGACAGTGGCTTTCTGGAGATGAAACTGGAACACCTTAGAGCTGAATAAATCATTTAAAATTACCACTTAATGCATTTTCTGCATCATTTATCTGAAGACTCAGAAAATACAGATATTTGAGCTTACCAGAATCCCGGATATATTGCTGTCTGTCTTCTGCTTTAACAGTTAAGTCATTAAAGACCCATGTGAACTTGGAATGTAGAACTTCGGTCCTAACACATTAGTGGGGAGCATGGAACGTAAAAGTTGGTGACAGTTTTATAACCTTGAATATCTGGCACTGCTAATTGAAAGACAGAGTAGGCTCAGCGCCTGTGGCTCAAGTGGTTAAGGCACCAGCCACATACACCTAAGGTGGTGGGTTCGAATCCAGCCCGGGCCCATCAAACAACAATGATGGCGGCAACTAAAAAAAAAATAGCCAGGTGTTGTGGTGGGTGCCTGTGGTCCCAGCTACTTGGGAGGTGGCAGGAGACTCTCTTGAGCCCAGGAGTTGGAGGTTGCTGTGAGCTGTGATGCCACGGCACTCTACCCAGGGGGACAGCTTGAAGCTCTGTCTCAAAAAAAGAAAAGAAAAGAAAAGAAAAGACACAGAGTATACAGAACCAAAACAATGTGTATCACCTTTCAGGTGCAAATGAAACATATTCTTCAACCCAACTACTGGAGCAGTTGCTCCTAGAAAACATGACAGGGACTCCATGTTTCCCAACTGGAAAATTTTTATTATGTTTTAAGCTTACATTAATTACACTCCCAGGTCTTAGGATCCAACCAGACGCTTCCTTTTTTTTTTTTTCTTTAAAGGACTTGTTATTTTTATAACGCCTAAGTCTTATGGTTAAATAAAAGCACTCATTCAATGTATCAGAGAAATAGCACGTTACCCAGCAGCTGAAATAATAAAACTCCAGCTCCCTTTTTCTGAATGGGCCAAAGACCTGATAAGAAAGTCTCCAGGAAGCCAGATGTTTATGTAGTTTGTGCACGTTTAGATAGGCTCCTGGTGCCGAGCTGCCATCCCTGGTGTACTCGTTGCTTTCAGTGCATTAAATGAGTTTTATTTCTACTTCCTGTATTGTAAAAATGGTTGTGAATAGGTCAGTGAAGGTACCGGTTAATATAATTTAAAATAATGATTTGACGGTAGTGGAGTGCTGCGAGTGAGGAGGTAGAGTTGAGGTAATAAGGAAGTGAGTACAGAGTGGTTCTGTGGTTTAAGGCGGTAAGTGCATTTTACAGGCATTCATGTAAATAGAAGTTTACTTGGAAATAGGAAATATATAAATACAGGAGGTCATTTTTCTTTGTTGTCGTTGGTTGCCCTGGCCAAGGGTCTTCAGAATTTTTCCAAGTTACAGATAAAAGAAACTAAAATCACTTCATTTGTTTTTCCCTTAGTTGCAATCACATGAATTTGCGTAACGTATGAACGAGTTAGAGCCCCATCCCAGCCACTATTCTCTAGCTCAAGGCAGCAGTAAAGGGAATTACCTCTCAGTATTTCTTTTCATACTAATGCAAAATATTGCACAATTTCCTCCTTCATGAGTAATTATGAAAACTAAAGACTCTAAAATATCAAAACTTAACCCTCTGCAACATTCAGAGGGTAAACACTGTTTAATATTCCCTCTCAGAGGAATTTGAAATAAAATACTTATCTTGGGTATTCCTAAAACAAGCATTTATTCAGCAAATTTGGGGAAAAAATACTTGTATTATCTTAAAACATTCTGGTACTATATGGTGACCAGCCAACAGAACTGTATGGAGTGTTATTTTGTAACCTCACACCATCAATAAAGTTGCATTCAGTGAGAGCTTAGTCAATGATTCAGTGTGGGCAGTTTTGAAGTATCCTTTTTGTGATGATTGGAGTGTTTGGTTGTTTTTTTTTTTCTCTATGTAGTTTTCACGATGATGCACCTATATATGACAAAAACAATAAAATGACAAATAATTGAAAAAGTCTTTAAATAGATTGAAGACTAGTAAAAGAAAAGGTATAGAACATCAGTAAAGAGAGACTTGCTTTGTAACTCAAATGCCCACTCAACTCTGGTCTAGCTCAGCCCTGACCATTTAGATCAAGTGTGGTTTCTAGTCTCGTTCCAGCCTTGCATATGGCCAACCTGGCACGGACTCAAGTGCATCATCGTTTACAATTAAACAACATAACGGGAAATAGAATCAATTGCCGTTACAGACACATCCTCACAGCCTTTTGCTTCCCCCTCACCCTTCCAAACAAGCAAAAGAACTGTAACCAACAAGAGGTGGTCAACTTTGATCTAAGTTAGTACTTAAGTGATAACATCCCACTGAAGACATAATAGCTAGACAATTCTACATGGCAGCAATACTTTTCTTAAACTTCTCCAAGCCCCATAACCCTGTAAACAAACTATACTAGCCCCAAACAGAAACCAGCTCATGCCACAGTCTCAGTTTTGATCGTATCAGCCAGGTGTCCCAGAGTTTCTTTACGTTTTCTTTAAACTCTCACGTAACTCCAAACTTCCCT